TCAGTGGGGTGTGTAGAGCATCCCTGACATTCCTCACACATTGTGTGAAAGTGGTATGGTGAGCGTATACTCCCTCAAGAAACCACACAATACCACTCCCCAAAAAATAACACCCCTAAATGACTAAATGACCCCCTTTGGTCTACTAAAATAGCAGAGTGGGAACTAAAGCTCTTCCTTTCCAACCCCACCCGACCCCCTCAACACACAGAAGCACACTGAGTGGCGGCATGGTTTAGTGTCAGAGGGGCAGACAGACTGGTGGCCGGGCGGGATGCAGACCTCTCCCTTCCCCACAAGAGACGCTGGGGACCCCAATGGGGACCACAGAAAAGGAGAAATGAGCAGGGGGAGTGCCACTTTAGAAATATCTGTAGACGATGAAGATCAGATATACCTAGTAAGTTATGGATGGAGAACAGTTACAAAACCTAGGAGGTCCCATTGTGTTTGGATAACACTGATGTTTGGGTTGTATACAGCTTGGTTGGTTTGTTCTGTGCTAGTTATCCATGGTGCCTAATTTCATGGCAATCCATCCACCACACAGTGAAAGGGAAGGGTCCACTTACTAAAATGTACTTAAGGAAAAGTATTGTTCATTAATAATAATCTAGTCAAATAACTACTTGAATAGTAAAAATGTGTCTCTTAAAAAAATACTCACATACGGACGGAATGAATGTATTTTGTTTCAAAAGGTAATTATGAATATGAAATGCACCTTAATTGTCCTTAAAGTGCCAAATCCAGAAACATGTTAATGACTAAATACATACTTTTAGGTAAAGTTTAATCCCTTAAAACAAAGTGACCAGAAAAAGCTTGTCAATAACTTAATCCTCAAAGGAGAGGCTTGTGTGTGTTCAGGCTATCTCTGGATGTTCTCCCGAGACCATCTATAGATTTTCAAGTGTTGTAGTTTGTGCATAGCTTAATGTAATGGAGTAGAAGTGCATACCTTCTATTGAAAATGCTTTTGAGTAAGGGTAAAAAAAGAGTAAGAGTAAAAAGTGTACCGCAAAACAACTGCTCTTTCAGTTTCAGTTAAATTCACTTAAAATGACTTGAGTACATTTAGGTAAATGTGATTCGCTACTAACTTTTGCATGTGAACAACCTAATGTTAGGGTTAATGTAACCTTAATTTGAGAGACGGAAACAGACAGTCAGAGAAACAGTCAACAGGATAGGTATAGAACCTGTAATACAAAAGGAAACAAACAAAGCTGTATGAAGAAAACAAGATAAAATGTGGTGGGTTTTGTGGTCAATGTTTTCTCAAAAAGTGATGACAGGTAAGCACTTCTTGTAATAGAGCCCATGTTCTGATGCTGCTCTCTGTGCAGTGCCTGTGTGTAGGTTGTGTGCGTGTGGAGTGAAAATGGCTCACATGGGAGGACAGATCTTCCAAAACAAGATCGCAGTCTGTGTTTTATACATTAGTGCCTGAAGTGTGTGTGTTTGTGGGAGAGCAGTTTAAGCAGGGCCATGTATGTACAATTGTATTCATATATTCAAATTACATTGCGTTTCCAAGTCCTATTAAATCTAGAAATTTGTTTTATATTCTATGGCTTTCTCTTTCCTGTCTTTATTCTTCTATTTCTCTGTTTATGATTATGTGAAAGCCAGCAGCAGCCTGAGAGGAATTTACCAGATCTGAATGTACATCTTTATATGAAAGCTCTCTTCACGTTACACACTAAACCCCTCCACATCCCTTGCCCTTTGAAAACAGAGGATTTCCTTAGTTAGCGTGGCAGCTGGAGTCACAGGGGGAGACTCCTGGTTTTGATTTCTCTTATGGAATTTTCTCATTTTTACTTCAGGCGTTAAGCCACAAGCAACTGCTGCTACAATATGTCCTATGCATCAGTCATCTCTTCACCTCTCAGCTAGGGCTGTGCTCCTAATTTACAAATCTCTGGTGGATACCGTTTCCTTCGTTCTTATGTTTTCGAGTTGCCTTTAGGTATTGTTTAATTACTATTAGGTTACACAGGCAGTAATGCACCTATGGAGTTTGTTTATTTTCAGTTCCAGGAAACTCTTATGCTACTTTAGAATACATCTCTTGTCCTCCTTCAGACTTATATGATACCTCTCATTATCCCTCAGAAACATGGAGAAGTGATTTCTCTGATACATGCCAAAGTGTCTGTGCAAGTGCTCTGTTTCTGTTGCTTTCACCTCCTTACTCTGCTTCCAGCTTAATGTTGTCAATGTTGTAAAGTGCTTGTGTTATCTGCTTATTCATTTACCGTATTCTCTTCTCTAAAATCGTTTTCCTCTCACTTTTTCTCTCACGCTGGCCTCCAGGTTTTGGGTCATTACATCCGCCGACAGCAGGACCCTGAGACGTTTATTAAGGAGATCAAGTCTATCGCCAGCGACCCAGAGGAGAAATACTTTTTCAATGTGACCGATGAAGCCGCGCTCAATGACATTGTGGACGCCCTGGGAGATCGCATTTTCACTCTGGAAGGTTAGTAATCACCTGCCAAGTGCTTTTGAAAGTGCCTGCCCTTTCCAAATGGCTTCCAATGGAGCTTTAGATGGTTTGGTGAAACAAAGCATCTGAGTCAGGTTAGTAATGCTCCATCACATGTTTTACATATATTACAGGGTGAATCTGAAGACTGAAGCTTGACTTTAAAGCAACCCAACAGAAGTTTCATGTAAGTTTAGTTCTTTCACTCGTAGCTCTGGCTGCGGGGGTGCTAGAGATGGGAGCACGTTGATACGACCTTCCTAGCCGGAAATATGGTCGCATTTTACAATTAACTTCCGTTGGGTCACTTAAAAACAAATATCGCAAATCGCAATCGCAATATCTGTCAGAAAAATCGCAATTAGATTATTTCCCCAAATCGTGCAGCCCTAGTGGCTACCCCTGCATAGTACACCCAATAACCATCGTAACTCCGTATCGGGAGCCATTACAGGGGAGAGAACAGAGCCGCTTCAACGGCTGCCATGCCAAAGCGCGCAGCATCATAGAGCGCGCTTTCGGGCTACTGAAGGGGCGATGGAGGTGCCTCCTGTCGAAGTCCTTGGAGGTGAACCATAACTTTTGTCCTTGCTGTGGTCACTGCCTGGTGTGTACTACACAACCTTGGCATTACTAAAATATTTGTTTTTATGTTACCTGTTTGTTTGCTTGACAGAAGAAAAATGCATTTACTGGCCAGATGCATTACTCTGTTCTCTTGTTTGTGCCATTTATATGCCTTATTTCCAATTTCACCTTACTCAAGTTTATTTAGAGCAAAGGACTTTACAGACCCATGTCTTTATTACAAATGGTATGTAAAATAGGCCATCACACAGTTTCGTCAGAAACTGTTACATTTAGTGTTGAAATTGAGCCATGTTCAGTGATACAATATTGTTATGCTTTGACTGAACGTTAAAAGAAAGAAGAGACATGTGTTAGTAATTTTACTTATGTAGGTTTTGAGCTACATGCAGTAACATGACTCAATTTTAATTGTTATATTGTTTATTTAATAAAACATCCCTGATATTGCATTTGAATACTTTACACATGGTTGGTTTATGCGCAGAATGATTTGAGGTGGAGATTTGAAAAGCGGAAACATTATGAGTTTCAGTATGACTATAGATACCTTGGGTTGCACAATGACTTTAAAAACGTTGGCTTTTTAGTCATGTCACAATCATAAAATGTATATTCAGCTTTGTCTAAAATAAAGATTTCCTTTTATCTTTACAGCAAACACATTTGTTGTATTTTTTCTGTATTTCTAGTTGTAAAGAAGGCTTCATGCTTGATTTAACCCTTGTATGGTGTTCGGATCTGTGGGACCCGTTTTCATTATCCATCTAAAGAAAAATGACATGATAAATTATTATTTCGCACTCACACTCAATGGCCTTGGCTCATTTTCTGTGAAGAACATATATCAGAACACATTTTCAATGACCACACCCACTGTACACCCCGCCCTTCACATTTACATTACATACAGGGTGCTAACAAAAGTGTGGAAATTGTAGGCCCTGTACACCTGTGTGTGTGTGTGTGTGTGTGTGTGTGTGTGTGTGTGTGTGTGTGTGTGTGTGTGTGTGTGTGTGTGTGTGTGTGTGTGTGTGTGTGTGTGTGTGTAGTAGTAGTGTGTAGTAGTAGTAGTAGTAGTAGTAGTAGTAGTAGTAGTAGTAGTAGTAGTAGTAGTAGTAGTAGTAGTAGTAGTACGTAGTAGAGTAGAGTAGAGTAGAGTAGT